AATCATACACCATGATCAAACAGGATTCATTTCAGGGATGCAAAGCTGGTTCAATATACGCAAATCAAGTAATATAATCATCACTTCAACAGGAGCAAGGATAAGAACCACGTGGTTATCTCAACAGATGCAGAAAAAGCATTTGACAAGATCCGACACTCCTTTATGATAAAGGTTCTGAAAAAATTAGGAATCCATGGAACATTCCTCAATGTAATAAAGGCTGTATATGACAAACCTATAACCAGTATTATACTTAACGATGAAAAACTAAAGCCATTTCCTCTTAACTCAGGAACGAGACAAGGATGTCCATTTTCTCCACTTGTCTTCAATCTAGTGTTAGAATGCCTAGCTACAGCAATAAGACAAGATGCAAACATAAAGGGGATCCAAATAGGGAAAGAAGAAGTAAAACTCTCCCTCTTTGCAGATGGCATGGTCTTGTATTTAAAGAATCCCCTAGACTCCACTCCCAAATTACTCAAGCTGATTCAAAACTTTAGCAAAGTAGCAGGGTATAAAATTAACCCTCAAAAACCTATGGCTTTTATGTATGCTAACAATGAGAAAAGTGTGGCTGAAATTAGGAAAGGAACATCATTCGTAATATTCCCACAAAAAATAAAATACCTAGGAATTAACTTAACCAAAGAAGTGAAGGACCTCTATGATGAAAACTTTAAAAACTTGAAAAAGGAAATCAAAACAGAACTTTGAAAGTGGAAAAAACTCCCATGCTCCTGGATTGGAAAGATAACAATCATGAAAATGGCAATACTTCCCAAGGCTATCTACAAATTCCATGCGATACCTATCAAAATTCCAACCTCATTCTTCAAGGAAATGGAAGAGGCAATCCAAAAATTCATATGGAACAATAAAAGACCCCAAATAGCGAAAACGATCCTCAACAGAAAGAACAGTGCTGGAGGAATATCAATACCAAATTTAAAACTCTATTTAAAGCCATAGTAATCAAAACAGCTTGGTACCGGCACCAGAACAGACCTTGGAACCAATGGAATAGAATTGAAAACACAGAAATGAACCTACAGACCTATAGCCATCTAATCTTCGATAAGGGAGCTAAAAAAAAATAGAATGGAAGAAAGACAGCCTCTTCAGTAAATGGTGCTGTCAAAATTGGTTAACTACTTGTAGAAAACTAAAACTAGATCCTTATATATCACCCTGCACCAGAATCAACTCCAAATGGATCAAAGACCTCAGAGTCAAAGCAGACACTCTGAAAACATTACAGGATGGAATAAGAGAAACCCTAGGTTTCCTTGGCACAGGCCAAAATTTTCTTAATAGAGACCCAGAAGCACAAGTCAAAGAAAGGTTGGACAAATGGGATTGCATGAAATTGCATAGCTTCTGCGTGGGAAACGACATAGGTAGCAAGATCAATAGAAAGCCCACGGATTGGGAGAAGATCTTCACTAGGCATACAACAGAAAATGGTCTCATATCTAAAATATCCCTTGAACTCAATAAATTAAATCCCCAACAACAAATCTTCAAAGAAACAAATGACCAATAAACAAGTGGGCTAAAGATTTAAAGAGAAACTTCTCTGAAGAGGAAAGAAAGATGGCCAATAGACACATGAACAAATGCTCAACCTCCCTAGTCATAAAAGAAATGCAAATTAAAAGGACATTGAGATACCACCTCACCCCAGTTAGAATGGCTAAAATCAAGAACTCTAATAACAGCAGATCCTGGAAGGGCTGTGGACAGAAGGGAACCTTACCGCATTGTTGGTGGGAGTGTAAACTTGTTCAACCACTTTGGAAAGCAGTATGGAGGTTCCTCATAAGACTCCACATAGAGCTCCCCTATGACTCAGCAATCCCACTTTTGGGCATTTACTCAAATGTTTACAAAGAAGACCACACTAAAGCTACCAACCCGACTATTACAGCATTATTTACTATAGCTAAGATATGGAACCAACCCAGATGCCCCTCAGTAGATGAATGGATCAAGAAAATGTGGTATATATACAAAATGGAATTCTATGCCTCCATCAGAAAGAATGACATTGCCCCATTTGTTAGGAAATGGAAAGACTTGGAAAAAAATTATATTAAGTGAAGTAAACCAGGCCCAAAGAAACATAGGTCCCATGGTTTCCCTTATTTGAAATATCTAGTATATGTCTAAGTCAAGCAGAAAAGGTCAGATAAGGTGATGTTAGGGAAATGAACCCTAAGATATGTATTCAAATGTTTTTTTTTCTTTCATGTGATTGTTTCTAACACATTTATAAGATTTTTTCTTGGTTGCTTTGTATGTCCCTCCCCCACAGAATAACCCCTGCTTTCACTGTATTTCATGTCGGTATAATTTGTAGAGGGGAAGGGGAAAATCAAATCGTTTAAATAGAGATACAGGTGGGCCCATTGCAACAATGAGATGTACAAGTCGTTATGTCGAAAACGAGCTTTACAACTTTGGTGGGGGGGACGGGAGGATTAGGTAGTGGGGAGGTGAGGGGATAATGTGAAGGGATGGGAGGGGGAAACAAGGGAGGAGGCTACAATGCTTGATAAGAAATGTACTCATTATCTTGCCCACCTAATTTTAACCCATCTGTACAATATTTTCACAATAAATAAATTTAGAAAGCTATGTGTATATAATCATATAAAATGATGTTTATTGAAATTAACCTCAAAAATGGAAACAAGGTGTTCTTTATTGTACTATTTGCAGTTCTTTTTTTCCATCCTTGTTTTTATTGATTTATTCCTCTTTGTTGCTATTTTTTAATTTCTTTACTCTTTGTCATGGATGTAAGTTTACGTGATTTAGGGAGGGAAAATGGAAGCACACAAATGGTGGGACGAAAAGTAAACACTGTTCAAAAAGAACTCTTCTCACTTATGTACTTATGTAACTGCAACAATCTGTACATCACCTTTACAATAAAATTTAATTTTTTTAAACTTCAAATAACTCAGCAAATAAGAACAAGAATTTGCAAATGAGATTAATCAAACTAAAAACCTTTGGCAACACAAAATTAACAGTCACCAGACTGAATAGATGGCCTGCAGAATTTACCAACTAAACATCTGGCAAGTGACTAGTGACAAGAATATATAGGAAGCTCAGAAAACTAAACCCCTAAAGAATTAACAATACAATTAACAAATTGGCGAACAAACTCGAAGATACTTCTCAAAATCAGAAGTCTAAATGGTTAATAAAGGAAATGCAAAGCCAAACAACACTTAATTTAATCTTACTCCAGTGATCATGTCTATCATAAGGAATATTTTTAAGAATGGAGGGAAAGGGAAGGTCACACACTATTGATGGAAATGTAATTTCATGCAACCACTATGGACATCAGTATGTAGGTTTCTCAAGAAACTATAAATTTATGATTTGAACAAGTGCCACCACCTTGTGAGACTGAGGTCCATTGGATGCGTACATGCACCTGTCTAACTCAATCCTCTGTCCAGCAAATTCATGCTACTAATAATTTAAAAAAATAAGTGATAAAATCTTACATAATGTACAGAATATACAACTGTAAAGATGAGTGGCAATCTCATTTTTTTAGCTTTTCCTTCTACATTTTAAAGTATTTTTACTGTAAAGATGCTGTACTAGGGGTTATAGTTACAGGAGTAAGGTAATGAGTGCATTTCCTATCGAGCATTGTTACCCGCTCCTTTGTTTATCCCCTACTATCCCTTCTCTCCCTACCTCTCCATATACTCCATTCCCCGGAAATGTAAAGTTCATTTTCAACATAGTGTCTTGTACATCTCATTGTTACAATAGGTCAACCTGTGTCCTTGCTTTAGCATTTTGTCATTTCCTTTCTCCTCCCCAAATTAGAAAATTGTATATTCAAGAGACAGGGCACCAGAATCAAATACAATGACAAAATTTTCTCCTGCATTTTTAAAGTACATATGTGATGTATATTTTCTGAGACCCAGTATATGGTTCTGAAGAAATGTATCAAAATATGCATTGAACACCACAGCCTTGTGTAGAATATATCAACAGCCCTGATGTAGCTCTGCTCTCTGGGACCACTGAAATCTCTGAATGGAATTCACATCTAATATATGTGAGCAAGTAGAAAGCATAAAGTTACTTTTGATACTAATTTAGCTTTGTGATACAGAAGAATTTCTTCTATCACAGGCTCTCAACCCAGTGCATCATGAATAAGTCTTGATCTATTTTAGCAACTTAAGTAATAATAAATTTTTTGAAGGTAAAATTTCAGACTGCAAAAGTGGAATTCAATTTCAGCATTAACCTTGAGTTATTGACATGTAATTTCTAGTTTGAGCAGCAGCATTGCTTCCTCAGGCAATACTAAATGACTGAATTTTTAGAGTGCTCTTATTGAAAGCTCCCTGTTATCAACCACCAATGTTCTGTGGCTGTTATGGACATTGTGTGTGTGTGTGTGTGTGTGTGTGTGTGTGTGTGTGTGTGTGTGAACACATCCTCTGGGTGTGATGCTCTCAGAACTTTAGTTGACATCTCACAGGCATATGCTTTTTGTGGACATTTCACCATGCACAGCACATGGCATCCTCTGAGGTGATCCAGTTGCATCATCCCAAATGCCTTTTATGCAAACAGTTTCTTGACACAGATATTGGACAAAATTCCAAGATAACTCCATCTCTGGGGCCTCACTATCTGTGGTCCTGGATGAAATCATAGCACCTGGGGTGAAGAAAACTCCACAAATGTGTTTTCCATCTCATGTTTTTCTCCTGGATGAAGGCCCTGGGGAATAATTTTATACATTATTTCGGGGACTCAAAAGGCTTTGATGAAAGGGGAGTTATAGTGTAGATCACTATCAAAAAGGAGACACATATGCACATATAAAAAGACATACAAATATACATACCTGACATGTGGGCCTCACTTCTAACCAGAAATTCAGCATGGCAGATGCTTCAGGGATGTGCCTTTTGGTTTTCACACTCCTTCTTCTCCAGCTTCCCCTCCTTGTCAGGTCCTTGGCTGGCACTAGCTGCTTCTCTACTATGAAGCACCGAACACATATGGATGGAGATGTGATGATCGCTGGATTTTTCCCACTCAACACTTTGGGAATAGATCACAGTAACAACCATGATTCCAGCCAAGAAGATCAAATGCCATCAGTAACTCATCTTTTTATTCCCATTTACTGTTTTGTTCTGAGGATGGGCAATGGCTGAGGAAATCCTGGGGCACACATCAATGTAATCTGTCTTGTCTATGCTGAACTCCATCTGATTGCACCATGAGCAGCTCAGTCTCATCCTGTCATACGACTACAGTTGAATGATTTTCTGCCTGCTAATAGGAGAAGACCCTACTTCCTTCATACAGATTCTCCTTTCCAGGTCAGAAAATTCTTCACTTTAACAGCCCTGTGTCTCCTCCATTTCAGGTGTCATTACAGAGAATGAAGTAATGTTATCACACTGAAGCTGAATCACTCACATGTGATCTGTACTAAAAGGCTGAAGCCACATTTACTGCTTCCATAGGCCAGTATTGTAAGAACTTTTCTTCAGTAACATCTACGTTATGAGAATATGGATAAAATTTCTTATGGTAGGCTGGTGGCTCATGCCTGTAAATTTAACTACTTATGGTGCTGATATCTAAAGATCAAGGTTTGAAGCCAGCTCAGGCAGTTAAATCTGTAGACTTTTATTTCCAATTAACCATCCAAAAGCTGTAAGTGAAGCTGTGGATCAAGTGACAGAAGTATTAGCCTGGATCAGAAAAGCTCAAGGACACTGTCCAGGCACTGATTTCATGACCTTGAACTCTCTGTCTCTCTGTCTCTGTGTCTCTCACCCCCCTCTCTCTCTCACAAACACACACACAAACACACACATTCTTACTGTAGACAAGTAGTTACTGTTTCAAACTATACCTTGTGTCATTATTTTATGTCAGATATGCTGCCTAACCCATGTCTTACCAGAAAAGTTAGCTTTTTAAAGTTCACTTATGGGAGAAGTTTATCTGCCCCAGGTGAGTTCTACTTTACTTGAATGATCTACTTTACTTCAATGAATGTTCTTGACTTTTGGTCTGTAACACAGAGTCTCACTAATAAATGGTTACACTAAAAAATAGAAAGAAAAGAAAACACTGTACAGAAATTCAAGAAACTCTAGCAAACTGATTCTTATTGCAAGAGAAAAATGTCATTGTGACTACTATTTCCACTTGTTTACAAGGGATGGTGTGGCATACTCTGAAGTAGCTGCCCACATTTGAGAACAGTGATCCAAGGGTAGGAATTACTCTCTTCTGTGCCATGGAAGATATATGACTTTACCTTATATATCACTGGTATGTAGATTATCTTTTTTCCTTTTGTGCAGGTCCTTGGAACTAAGGACCTGGGCCCTGTTTCTGAACAGTTTTGATGAAAGCTATTGCTCTAGCATTTAAACCACAGGTCCACTTCTGGCCTTTTTGGTAGTAAAATGGGGATAAGAGTCTCACAAACATCCCTGCTCAACCTAGCTTCAAACATTCTCGTCAGATCTCAGCCTCAGATCTCAGTATTTAAGCCTCTAAGCATGAATCACTAGTGCCTGGCTTAGCTTATTCTTTGTATTCCCCACTATTTACCCATGTTCATCTGATTTTTATTCTCTAAATTTCCAAAAATACATTTGATTATTTTTGTTAGTGTGCTAATATAGACATACTGAGTATTATGGTTTAATCCATGGATGTTTCTTAGCTACCCACAGATACAAAGTAAGTCTGGTTTGGTTAGCAACATTTGATGTATGCTATTGACTACAGATAGCAATATTGATCCATAAGCTTTTCTTGCAGATAGAACACTAAATTTCAACATGAGTAGGTAAGAGATTTAGCTTGAATTTAAGCCTGCTGGCATTACAGTGATGTTTACCAATTTTTACACAATATTGGATTGTGTCAATACCTGGTTTATATTGCAGTTCCACAACACAGGTGTGTACTTTGATTATATTCAAACACTCTTTTATGATCATGTTTTATACCTTGTTGTACATCCTTTTTTCTCTCCCATATCTCTAAGTTCTTCTGCTCATTTTCAGCTTTCTGATGTCACTAAGCTCAAGATACTAGTAATTTGTTTGCTTTGCATTTGTGGATAGCTTTTTCTCTCGAAGATGATACTCTTCCAATTGAGCTTCATATCCACTTCTAGCTTTTTGTTGATTAACTTAAGATAGAATATCATGGACTTTTCTGCCCCAGCTGGTTTTGACTCAGGATCTGTGCTTCTCAGCCTCTTGATCAGCCAGGATTAAAGGCAAAATCTACCAGTAGAGGTAGTTTTAATTTCTTGAAGAATCTCCAATCTTTAATTTTTATATACCATCACCAAATGGACAATTTATATCTGTGTTGATGGGCAATTGATGGGTGTCATCATTGCTCAAATCATTAAATATTTTTTGGTGCTGATTTCTATTTGTACTTTTAATTTTCAAAGGCTCTCTTCCTTGATTGGATTTTTCTCAAATGCTATTTAAGTCTTAAAATTGTTTTACACTGTGCTGTCTGTCCTCTGTGAGATGAGTACCTAGCAAGATTTTTAATTATTCATTTGTCTGTCCCACCAGTTCTCTCATTGTGCTGAAGCTTTTCTATTAGGTACAAGGACAGTTACTTTACTTTACCACTTTTGGGAGTGGAATTTAGGGCCTTGCAAATGAGACAAATGACTCTACAACTTAGTGAAAAACAGAGTTTAATCCGTGCTATTATTTTATGAGCTATTTGAGTTCTGTGTAAGTTACTTCTGTATGTATGGTTTCCTTTTCTCTATTACATGCAAAGATCTAGTCTCTATTAAGAGCTAATTAGGATATGGAGCTGTGGCTCAAAGTGGCAAAGTGCTAACTTTGAGCAGAAGAGCTCAGGGACAGCACCCAAGCTCTGACTTTAAGCTCCATGATTGACAAAAAGGGAAAAAAAGAAAAAAATTGTTTAAAAAGCTGATTAATTTTGATTTTACAAATACAAAGGGTCTAGTTTTAGCATTTCACACATGTATACCCAGTTTCACAATGCTACTCTTGCTAAAGTTGTCATGTTTAGGCTATCTATTATTTAGCAACTTCCCCAAAAATCACATACCTGTAGTGTTTTTGTAATTACTTCTTGGCCTTATTTTTAAAGTTACTTTTGTATGGATGTTTTCCTTCATTTTTTCTATTACTTGTAAAGCTCCAGTCTTTAGTAAAAATATAATTAGGAGCTGTGGCTCAAATGCTAGACACTAGCCTTGAGCAGAAGAGCTCAGGGACAGCACCCAGGTCCTGAGTTCAAGCCCCATGATGGACTAAAAACATTGCTTTTAAAGAACTGATTAATTTTGATTTTAAAAATATTAGGGGTCCAGTTTTAGTGTTTTACACATCGATACCCAATTTCACAATGCCACCCTTTGCTAAGAGTATCATGTTTAGACTCTGGATTATTTGGAAGCTTCTCCAAGAATCAGCTATATGTAGTTTTTTTGCAATTACTAACTTGGCCTTATTTTTTGTATCTATGTGTCTATTTTTAATCAGTGTTTTCTTCTGCTCTTATGGCAGAAAAATAGGCATAGGGATAGTTCAGTATTACTCATGTCTGAAGATAGCTCTGGTTAATTGAATAATTCTTTTTCCCAATATTTCATTTTGCCATTTCTACTTGTGTGATTGAAGTGTAAGGAATATTGATGGAGACTAAACTGAATCTGTAAATAATTTTTCAGCAATATATTCACTGTACTGATTCTAGCATACAGAATAATGGGAGGTATGTGTGGCTGACATGTGTAATGTTATTGCTTTCCCATTTGATGCATCATGATTTTTACTTAAGTCTTATGGCTGTGTTGTTTTTGTGGAACTTTCTGTTTGCTAGATTGATGAATGTTGTTGTGTTTTTTCTCTAATACTTTTACTTCTACTTGAATATTTCATTCCTTCTACTAAATTTTTTTTTTCTAGTTTCATGAGATACAGAGTATCTATACTCATGATTTAAACAAAGGTCCTTTTTTCATTTAATTTCCTTTTTTATATTTGTAGGTAATAAGTAAATTTCTGGTCAAACTTGTTACCACTTCCTTCATTTTCTCCTACTTTCCCTCCTACACACATCAACATCTCCAAGTTGTATAGGTCATTTCCAATATATTGTCTTGTTTATATTGCTGTTGCATTGGTTTCCCCCTTGTCCTTTGTCTCACCATTCTGTTGTTCCCATTCCTTTCCCTAGTTCGAATATATATATATATATATATATATATATATATATATATATATATATATAATTCCAGGGTACCAAAATCAAATACAGAGAGAACAAGTGATATAGTATCATTTTATTGCTCCTTTCTCAATATCTATAGATTCTCACATTCTGTTTTAATTTTTTTGTCCAAATGATTTTGTTTATTTCTTGTTTTCCTTAAAAACATGTCATTTAATCAAGTTTTAATCAGTTAATTAAACTGAATAATTTTGACTACATTAAATTATTCATTTATTGATAAAAACTATTCCATTGTATGTTCATGTTAAGTGCATATTGTCAGGGTTTTCCTGTAGCCTTACTAGAGTGTGATGGGCATGTGTACTCAAGATACTTTCAATACATTTAATATCTGACTTGGTTTCATGTCCTCCCATATGAACTCTCCTGGAGAACACTTAATATGTTGATGAAAGTTGGTTTATTCCGAAGTTGGATGAAAGGTTCTGTACTTGTATGTGAGGCCCACCTAATTAAGGGTGAAATTTAACTCTGATAACTGCATGTTGATTTTGTCTGGATGATTTCTAGTAAATCCGCAACTATAATTGTATTGAAGAATACCTCAAAGTCTGCTTAAATAGAACTAAATGCTTGCAGAGTGTATTAATACACATTTACAATTCTTATATCCTCTTGTTTGGTTGCATTGATTAAAGTCTACTTGATTTGATATGTTATGAATACATCTGCTTTCCTTTCACTTTCATTTGCATGAAATGCCTTATTTCATTTATTTTTGACCTTTCATGTGTTGATTAGTGCTATTTTAAAAATGATATATTTACATAAGTTAAAGAGTCTTTATTATATATGTTTTTATGTAAAAATATTTTACAGAGGAGTTACAGTTACCCAGTAAGGTAGTGAGTACATTTCCTATTGAGCATTATTACCCCCTCCTTTGTTTTCCCCTCCCAAACACCCCAATGCCTCCCTCTCCCCCAACCACACCCGAAGTTGTAAAGTTTGTTTTCAACATACTGTCTTGTACATCTCATTGTTACAATCTCATTGCTTCATTGGGTCAAACTGTATCCTTAATTAAGCATTTTGTTATTGGCCATCGCCTCTCCAAATTAGAAAAAAATGTATATACAAGATGGAGCGCACCAGAATCAAATACAGTGAAAACAGGCATTATATCATGGGGGAAGAACATACAAAAGAAACGAAAAACTCACACAATATATTATAAATACATTAAAAACAGTAAGAGATAAAACCCCACTTGTTTCCCTATCTTGGGGTTCATTTGACTTAACATCAACTTATATGGTCATATATACATAGCTTTTGAACTTTTCTGCTTATTCTAGACATGTACTAGTTATTGCACATAAGGGAAACCATGGGACCTATGTTTCTTTGGGCTTGGCTTACCTCACTTAATATAATTTTTTGAGGTCTTTCCATTTCCTAACAAATGGGGCAATGTCATTCTTTCTGATGAAGGCATAGAATTCCATTGTATATTTATAGACCACATTTGTTGATCCATTCATCTACAGAGGGAAAACTGGGTTGGTTTGGTATTGTAAGAAATGCTGTCATAAACATAGTTGTGCTGGTAGCCTTAGTAAGGCCTGGTTTGTGATCCTTCGGGTAAATGCCCAAAAGTGGGATCGCTGGGTCATAGAGCAGCTCTATGTGGAGTCTTTTGAGGAACCTCCATACTACTTTCTAAATTGGTTGAACAAGTAAGTTTACACTCCCACCAACAATACAGTAAGGTTCCCTTCTGTCCACATCCCCTCCAGCATCTGTTGTTTTAGAGTTCTTGATTTTAGCCATTCTAACTGGATATCAATGTCGTTTTGATTTGCATTTCTTTTATGGCTAGGGAGGTTGAGCATTTCTTAATGTGTCTATTGGCCATCCTTCTTTCCTCTTCAGAGAACTTTCTCTTTAAATCTTCAGCCCACTTATTTATTGGGCAGTTGTTTCTTTGAAGATTTGTTGTTGGCGGATTTAATTTTTTGAGTTCCAGGTATATTTTAGATATGAGACCATTGTCCGTTGTATGCCTAGTGAAGATCTTCTCTCATTCCATGGGCTTTCTATTGATCTTGCTAGCTATGTCCTTTGCTATGCAGAAGCTATGAAACTTCAT